TTAAAACAGTCATTCAGCTACCGGCCAGGCTGTTCTAGAATCCCAAGCACATTTCCTTTGCATTGTACACACTGACATTCACGCTGATGGTTAAAGAAGGTATTCATAAATGTTCAGGCCAGAGGGGGAACGCTGTGAGCACGCAGCATGATCTGCAATGCACCAGGCATGAAATTTCACACGGTTATTTCTGTATAGAATATTTGACTACTCTTTTAGAAAGATTTATTTCGGGAAAGCAGGTGCTACCACGAGTGTTCGTTTCCCTCTGTTCAGAACAAAACTGCCAACAACCCTTCATTTTTTCAAGGAGAGGGGTTTTACCCACACTCCTTAATTACAACTGTGACTTGGATTTGGTAATATGGATTCAGTGCTTATGTTGTACTCTGTTGCAGGCTAGATCAATAGGACATTTGTGTATAAAACTAAGCCTCCACAGAGAACTCTGTGAACTGTTAGGCTAACTAATGCCATTAGGGAAAACCATCAACAGATGGAAATCAGATGCTGGTGCCTATTTACCAAAGCTGAGGATCTAGGCCTTTATATGCAAGTGGAGGATATCTTTCTTTTACATGCTTGTACACTGACCTCTAGTTTCTGTATTTTATTCAGCAATACATTGTGATATAACTACATGTCTATAAAGAAAATAACCTCAAAAGTAAGGCTTGCACCAGAGTTTCTCGAGTTGCTGTGTGAACTTGGAGAGTTCTGCAAACATACAATAAAGGACAGATCTGTTAGTGGAAGACTGGCTGGTATGAAGAAAGGTTTCTGTTATAACACTGATGCCACCCCTTCAACATCGCATTCATCTGTGCAAAATAAACAATTCCTAGTGATAGCAAAAAGCAGAGACTGTTGTTGTCTTGGGCTGGCAGACTTCACAACATATGACAAGGGAGAGATTTTTAAAGCAGCAAAGGATACAAACTGTTTTTAACACCAGAAGCCAACATCTCCCAGAGTCTGTTTCAAGGGAAAGGGCGTAAGAAAACCAGCAATTTATTTTTCATTCGGACAGCAGAGAAAGACTTGGGGCATATTTTCACAACTCTTTCATATCTGTATCATTACACAGTTTTGTTTGCCTTCCATTCCTTGCTTTCAAAGAAGTCTGGGATGAATCATACACAGATCATTCTGCTATCTGAACATTCCTTCCGGATGGCATCTCCCTCCAACGCTTATTGCCCTGCTCAGCAAGGCATCGTCTGTTCTGTGCAGGAATAGAAGCATTGTTCAACAGCCTCCGTCTGCTTTAGACACATCCTTCCAAAGAGCTGTGCTGCACTCTTGTAGTAAAGGGTCTAATTTTCACATGTTTAAGACTGTGCACTTTCTTATCATTTCCACGGTGGTATTGGGACTGGCTTCACCATCATTCCCACTGAGCTATTTAGGTGCTCAGCTCCACTATCAGATTCCAGAAATACCAACTTTTTAGACTCATGCACAATGATTTCAACTGCAATTTTGTAGAAGTAAAAAATCATGGAAAACAGTTAACTCAGTCCCACTGGAAGACAGGTTTAGCTACAATTAATCTTTGAGTCCAAGCCGGCACATCTGATGACCTGATCTTAGTGACCACCAAAATCAAAAGCTTTGTGCATTTCCATGCGTAATATACCCCAGAATTCTCTGCAGGCAATCTTGCTGTGCATTTCTCTCATTTACTTTTCTCTTCTGCCAGTTGCGAAGAAAGTAAATGCATCCCTTCCTTTTTTGCAGCACCCTGTTATGGACTTTGGAAACGTGCTACAGTTCTTGTCCTACAGGCCTTCTCTTAAGCAACACAGTTTCTACAAACTTTCCTCGCAGAGCTTTAAACTTCTTGTTATCCTCCACTTCTAGGCTTTCCCGAGCAGGCACTGCAATCTTTAACAAATGAACAAATGTAGCGTGCTTTGTTTGCCACATGAAAATGAAAGTGCTTCATGTATTGTTGGTTAAGACCTTAAATACGTGCAGCGGAGAGAACTCTGAAGTTGCCCCCTGCTCATAACATTTTCAAAATGAAGGTTGTAAATTAGGAAGGTAAAACAGCACTAGAATTAGGAATGTGTCTGTGATTGGGCAATTCAGGGGAATATAGCAGGAAACGAATGCCTAAATCTGTGTATTTCTTTGGCATTGCATCACAGTATGCCTCCTAACAGAACAGGTTTCTGCTGTGTTTACACCACTCCTTGGACACAACCCTACAAGTAGGAAACATGCAGCTGGGTGCACAAAGCATGTCAGGAGACATGCAGAAGTATAATGTGCTTGTGTAATTGCAAGATCCTTTTTTCTACCTTATTCCAACCATTTTTGTTGTGGATTCCTATTACTTGCAACATACACAAGCTTGGGCTCCCTTGTAGGTCAGTCTGACAGTCTTTCAAGACACGGTATGTGTCATCTTGACCACCACGGCACTCTTAAGTGCCTGAGGAATCTGATTCCAGCACCAGTCAATATGCTGGCAGACTGGCTTTGCTGCTGTTGAGAATTAACTGCAGAGTTATGCATAACACACTGCTGGACTGAGAACAGCAACATAACTTTGTAGTTCTCTGCTTCATCATGTGCTCTGTTACGGAAACAATCCAGTATATCATTTTGGAATCATATGAGGTCAAAAATGTGTTCTGGTTTAATGAGAACCAATGAATGTTGTGGAACAGGTGCAAGCAATCCTTCTCAGTTCAACTTTCTACTCTCTGCCTGCTGACTTGTTTTGCTCCTGGTTTTCCAACTTCTACTTCTGAATTCAGAGGAAGTTCTTCCTCTGCTGACAAGCAAGGCAAATACACAAAATATTTTCGGTAGGCAAAATAAAGTCCACAAGGTTCTGGTAAGCACCAACACCTGATACTATTTTTCATTCTTTTTTAAGCAAAAAAATCTATTTGATGAAGGGGACACTGGAAAGGGAACAAGAAAGGAGAATATATTAAATACTCCAGTGTTTTGACAAACAGCTTTGCAATAGGAGCTGCAAGTATAGATAAATGCTGATGAAGAATTGAAGTGCTCCTCTGTGAAGAGCTTTCACTGTGAAGAAACCAGGGAGCATTCCATTGCAAGTGGCATGATAATGTAATGATAAAACACCATTGCTAGGACACAGAAAATCAATCAGAATGCCAAATCAGATTTGGCATAGCTGAATTCTCATCAAGTTTATTAAAAATTAACAGCTCAAAATAAACAGTAAGTAAGCTGTGTAAGAAACAGCTCAAAATTTTTACTTTTCCAATATTTCACAGTAATTACAATGACTGTGTTAGAAATGTTGCCCGAGATGGCAAAATAAAGCATGAAACCACAACTTGAGCAGTAAATTTGAATCTCATTCTTCTAATCCGTGTTAAATATTTATTTGTATCTTCTGAAAATATTTTAACTTGAATAACTTATATACAGTTATCATCAAATATTTCAGAGATCCGCTCTCAGGGACATGCATTTTTTCCATTACAAATTCTTTCCATCTGTGAAGTCAAAAACTTGACAGGATTACAATTTTCTGATAGAATCTGTCCTTTGACTCTTAAAAGATCGTAGTTGTAAAACTTGCAGGCTGATTGTACACCATGTAGTACAGAAGTCAGTGACAACAGAGTTCTGGGCACTAAAATCATGAGGAATTGGCTTTTTCCATTTTAAAGAACAAAATACAAAAAAATATATACCTGAGAAATTATCCCTTATGATGCAACGTTTATGTTTGCAAGTAAACGGCAAGAGTAGGATTTCACATCTTGTTCTTCTTAATTAGGCAAAGTTACAGTACCACTTCAGAACAACATGACAGGTTTTTGTCGGAAGCTGTATAATTCACTCCAGTGCCTCAGTGGCAGGAGAGCTCTGGAACACAGAGAGCTAGCAGGGAAATGTATGCCACATGCTCCAGGATGAAAACTGCAAGGAAGACCCAGAGTGCACCTGGAACGATACAGTGCTGGAACAGCCCCATGGCAGCGGCCTTTTCATCTCTTCAGAACTGTACGTGTCTGAATACGGAGCTGAATATTGCACACCAGCAGAATGCAAACCACACACTCAGTCTTGCCATGTGGAAGAGCTGCAGATCAATGATAGCCCTTCTACTTTTGTAAGAAAAGAGGGAATCTAGATCTGTTGCAAGAAAACAAGACAAATGTTTAGTACCTTGATACTAGTTCATAAGTAACCCTGGGTCTGTATCACATACATATCACCAGTAACACTAATGGTCTCACCTTCCCTGCACAGCAGGACTGGAACAATCCTGCTCATTTCATATGAGCACAAGTTCATATGAAAGTTATTATCCCTCTCCAAAACAGAAAACAAAAAAGCTTATTTTGCTGACCAAAAACGTGACCAAAAATGAGAGCTGTCAGGCCTGCACCTTTCCCAGTCACAGCCTAGCATACACGTGCACTTCATTTGCAATTATGCTGTTGCAAATTCGATGGAGCAGTCGGTATTTGTACACACTTCTGTTCACACTTACAAAAAAAGCTATGATTCATACTGACCTTCCGTGAGCCCCTGTTTAACAGAAAAGTATCAATTCCCTCATTTCTGAAGAGCAGTGATAGATATGACCCTTTAAAGTCTGCTCAGCTCCTGCAGAGGGAACACCAATTGGGACATCAAAACCAGGTGGTGTATTTTAATGGGAAATACTTTCCTGCAACATACGCCCCCAAGTTTTTAAGAAAGAGAGAAATGAACACCTAACATTCCCCGTTGTTAATACATGTAGTTAGTTCCTGAAAAAAAAACACAACTGTTACTGGAAGATCTCTGATGCAGATTGTGCTTTTGATTCTTCCTTCACTTAATATTACATCAGAACACAACACTTGCAGAGCAGGGGGGTCACACAGGTTCTGAATTAAAACATTTCACTCCAAGAGGCAAGCCCCTCACATACTGTAGCAATACATCAATCTCAAATTAAATGCATTTATGGGACTCACAGATTGCATGTTTAAGAATTGTAAATCCATGTGAGCTCCTCAGAAAAAAAAAAAAAAAAGAAAAAAAAACCAAACAGAATATCTTAAGGATTTTCCTTCCTATCTTTCTTGAGAAGTGAATGGTCCCAAGGTTTTGATGATCCCCAGATCAAGCAGCTTGGCCATGGGTTTTGCCTTTATAGTCAACTGCCCATACACTTACTGAAAGATTTTGTACACTTTTACTTTCAGCTTTTCTTCTCCTTAGTTTCCACAATCTGCCTTTAATCTTTAACTATGTGGACAACTCACAATGAACGTGTAAAATTATCTGCAAAAAATGGAAACTGTCTCTTCAGGAAACAGATGAGGAGATACAAAAGTAGCAGTTGGGAAACAGGAAATTACAGACTGACAATTTCAAGGATACCAGACACTTTCTGGGAGCAGAGAGACCTTCAGTAGATTTGAATGACTTCATCCCATTCATCGACAGGCCAGACACCGTTGTACTGCACGTTGGATGGTGAGTTCTTCCAGTCCCATGTCTTGACAGGAACCTTCCAGTCTGGGCCATAGTTGGCTTCAACATACTGCAGGGTCTCACAGGGTACATGGACCTTGAGTTCTACAAATTCAGTCCAGCACAGAGTAAACTTCGGGAAGAGATACCTGCACCACAGAAGGACATGGTCACCAGCAGAAGACATGCTTAGCACATGTAAGTCAGTCTGCCAAGTTACATTTGCAGCTTTTTTTCTTATTTCATAGTTTCCTACCTATGATGCATCATTTACCAACTGGACAGGGTTTTTATCAACAGTAGCTGGTTAGTATTTGCCACATGTTCTCAAGGAGGAGCATTTCTAATTCTACTGCTGTTTACTCCCTTGCTGTTCTCCCTTGTAAAAGAAATTAGTCCCTGTCCCTACCTTTCCACTTACAAACTGAAATTAAGCTACCTTGTTTGAAGGATATCAAGATATTTGACATGTTTTTTGGGAAGGAAGATTTCAAATACAGCATGAAAGACTTTTCTGTGAGTCAGGCCTGGAAATCAAAGGTATAATTTTTTATAAACAAGTTTTTACCTTTCTTCAATCGCATGAAACAAAGCATTCCATTTGCCTTCAGTGCCTGCTTAAACAGTGCCAGACTTGGAGCAGCTGCAAAGAATTAAGATACAGCTGCCACTCTGCACTTTCTGAAACCCCCGTGGCCCACTTAAATTAATACATATTATACCAAACCCACCTTGTTTTTTGCCTGCTCTTTTCAGCAGAGGGCCCAGTGTAGGCCCCACCTACAGATAAGCTGATACTACTGGAAATTGACAGCTTGGTCAGAATGACATCTGATAGGAACCCTATATGTTAAACCAAAGCGTATGCACCATTCCTGCAGAGGATCACTCCTGCTTCTTAAGTCTTCCACAGAAAAAAAAAAAAACAAACAAAAAAAGTGTTCTCAACATTGTTTTTCACAGGTCAAAAATTGGAATTAGAAGTAGTTAGCACTTCTGAGGAAAGGGTTAAAAGATTTGTGCATTTGCATGAATTAAAAATCTAGCAAGTTCCTCCAAGTACAAAGCCAGTATTTCATCTAAGAGCTGAGCAAACAGTTTCAGAAAATAAAACAACCTTGCTTTCATGCTTTAAATGGAGGTGAAAAAGAGTGATCAAGCACTTTTTAATTTATATCTAGGGACTGACAATTAGCTTTAAACTGAACTAAAAAGAGGGAAAAAAAGCCAGCTACCAAAGGGGAAACAAGATAAATAAACTTTATTAGTGGGTCTATAATCATCAAGAAGATATTTACTTCTTATTTACCCAGGAAATCATTCATCTATCTGAAGTGGGCATGCATGCATAAGCAAAAGCTATCAGCACACAGCTGAAATAATACATCCTCCAAAGAATGAACTCTAAGTAATCAATTTTAAGGAAAATGAACAGATAATTTAAACTAAACTACCTAACCTGCAAATTCAAAGCCAGTTAGAAACTCTATCAAATTATTTAACTAATTCTGAAATAAAATGCTTATATTCCCTAATGAAAAGTATTACTTTCGTTGAGGTATTCACCTCTGGGATCCTTGTTCACTGTTCAGGCATTACAAGTGGCTTTGCCAGGGCTGGGTGCTTTTGTGCACATACACCAATCACCATTCCTTCTTCCAATTTCAGTCTCATGAATCAGAAAAGATTTTATGCTTACAGAAAAGCCTCTATATTAAGCAATTACAGAATTAACTCATTTTAAGGATTAATGCATACAGCATAGATTTGATTATTGGGATACATTTTTGTAAAGATATATTCTGTGCTAAGAATGAAACCATCAAGTACAAATCTTCTAAACAAAGAAAGTTTCAGTTCTTGTTACCTCAAAAACAAAATTACAGGGGATTTATGAGTTTGCCTGCCTCTGCAGTGTTGTGAGAGTATTTCTATGCATAAACATGTAAACCACATAGCAAGATTTGTATGGCTTGGAAATCCACTTGCCAAGGAAGTAAAAAGAAAAATAGCTACTGAAAAATATTTTCTAGACTAAATGAGAAATAATTCCATTCTTCATACTTTTATTTAGTAAGATATGTAGAAAATACATTGGCAAAAATATTTAGCTTTTTTGGAAAAAAACAAAAAAAAAAAGATTTTACCCTCCATTTATTAAAAACATAAATATCTCTGCATAGAGCCACCTTCCAGATCTGTGATGATCCAGCAGCAATCAGTCTCTCTTCTGATACAAATGAACAGCAGGTGAGATTTAGGATTTAATATGACCAAACAGTCACTTCACTTTGGATTGACCTCTGTACTTCAGCTAGTCAAAATTTCGAAAGTGTGATGGCTAAGAAAAATGGAGGGTCCCAAAGTCTGCTACTGAAATGCAATTTTGAAAGAGGATGTCAACTTTACTGGAATGAAAACAGATATGAAACACAAGTACATTTCTGGCCAGCTGCCTGAAAAATACATTTAAAAAAAAATCCTCCATGATCTTGTACAGAAAGAAAAGAAGAAAAGACATTATGCTTGCTCTAGATAACCATAAAACTGTTGTATTCTACAAAACATATTACATTTCCTATGCAGGAATATTCCAGTAATTCTTCTCCTGGTCTATTTTTAAGTGTACTTTTTGACTCTGCTTGTCAAAGTATCTTCTCCAATCTTTGTTTATCATTTCAGAACAAATAAATCTACAGCAAGGAGTCACACACTATCGCTGTCTGGATGACAGTGCACAGCTCCTGTTAGCTAACAGTAAGCAAATGCAGTTCAGGCAAAATGTGAAAGATAATGATATCCTATGTAAGTCAACAAGGCTTTCAACCAGTCTACAAGTGTCTCTGGGAGAAGATGGGTAATGGAAAGAAACAAATCTAATTATCAAAACCTCTATTCAGCAAGCTGAATAGATTAAGAAGCTGTTGTACTTATTTGCTGTTTTAGCACTGAAAAGAATGAAGCAAGAAATGTGGTATTCTATTTAAAATCCCATTCTCAGAACTTGAACAACAAGAAGGTCTGCAATAATTATCTGCACTGCTGTCACATCACTATAGTCAATGAAGTATTCCAGATCATTACCACAACATCCAAAACTATGGAGTTTACTTTGGAAGGACAGCTGAGGCTTTCTGGCATAACACTTGTCAAGACAGATGCCTAAGGATTTGTTTTTCACTTAGCATGTTTGTAAAACAGAAAAAGGTTTAAGAGACTTCTTTCTCATCTTAAACCTTTAACTTCGCCCTTGCACACTCCAGATATCATCTGGCTCATACATGACATGACAAAGTTTCAGATCTCGCAAGAAAACTAGCATTCGACAGGCCCAGCACCTCTCTAGCAAGGCATGGTATTGTTCTCTTTCTACTTCTGAAGTCTCAAAGTACAAAAAACTCCTCTGATTCTCCCTGATACGTACCACAAAAAGCACAGACTTTGCCAAACGAAAAAAACACAATACAGAATGCTAACACTAAAACCTAAATTGTTCAGTTTCTTTCCAATTAGAGGTATAACTCCAGTTCGTACTTAAATTTCTTGCCCGACTTTGCCTGAGTTCCGCCATTCCATACGTAGTCATCTTCTTCATAGAAGAAAAAAATATCAAGTTTCACATCATCATCTCCCTGGAAAGAGAGTTCCAAACTGTCTTCTACCTGCAAGACAGAAATACAGACTAGATGCACTCATAAAAACACAAGGCTACTGAAGCCAGCAGGTTTCAGGGAACAAATTTATTTTCAATAATGCAGTGAAAGTGTAGAAAATAAACCACCACAGCAAGTTCTTTATTTTTGGTGCCTTGAGAAAACCACAAATTTTCTGCACCTCAGTGAGACTGACTTCTCTTTACCACCCCAAAGCTCTGGCACTATCTCCTTACTTTCTGCCACAAAGTGAACACAGAGCTATCTATTCAATGACCAACTATAATGTCATTCTGCCTAGGCAAGTAAGCCAGAACTCCAGCAGTTTTCCAGGAGAACACAAAAGAGCTATGTGCAGAAAGGCAGAAATCTAAAACAAACCATTTTCCATTTAGATGCTTTTGGTAAAACAGGCGAAAGCAGAGAATGATGACCTTTCATTGCCATGAAGTCTGCTACTCTATTTGGAAAGCACCTAAACATAGCCCCTTCAAAAGAAAAGGTATTATGGTAGGGGTTTAAGATAAGAATTTTAGAAGTGCCTGTGTTTGTGTTAACCCCAGTATGCTGATAAGCACTGCACAGCTACTGACTCACTTTCCTTCTCGCTTCCAGGAGGACAATGGAGCAGGAAAAATGAGTGAAAAGAAAAGCAAGAAAACTTGTGGTCAAGATAAGGACAGTAACTGGTAAAGCAGAAGCTGCACACACAGGCACATCAAAATAAGGGACTAGTTTGTTACTTCCCATTGGCAGCCAGATGTTCTGGAAATTCCAGGTAATCATAGCTTTCTTATGCATAACAGATACTTGAGAAGACAGATGCCATAATTCCAAATACTCTTCCCTTCTTCCTTCATTATCCCAGCTTTTTTTATGGAATATCCCTTTGATCAGTTTATCTGCATTTGCCTCTGTCCTCTTCCAATTTTTGTGTAATAACACCATGCTAGAAGGGAGCATGATAAACAGAAAGGGCTTGATGCTGTAGAAGCTCTGATGAGCAACAGATAAAAACACTGGGATGTCCTTAACACTGTCTTGGTTGCAAATCCAAAACGTAGCACCATACCAGATACTAAGAATAAAATTAACTGTACTGCGGCACAAACCAATATGGTTTGCCACACAAAACTCAAGTTAGCTCTAGCAGTACTGTCCACTTAACACCACAACAAATTAATTTTTACAGCTGCATGTGCTCTGCATCAGGAATAGAAAATGGCTTGCTTAAGGCTCCCAACTACCCTCACACAGGTCATACAACAGCCTACTGCAATCCATACAGAAATTGCCACCACCTGAGAATGCCATTTGCTAAAAAGGCTCAAATAAAAGAGCAGAGTAATATCAGTGAATAAGCAAGTGATTAGTAAGTATTTTCATTTAACACCTACAATAGCACCGTCTTTGACAATAAAATGCTCACTAGCACCAGCAATGATAACTTTAATTGTGGCTAAACCCTCACATCCCCGTGCTTTTGTTTGTCTTCTACCTTTACATTCCACTCTACAGCTTACACTCCAGAAAAAGATAGTAAGGGTGCACATAAGCTGATAATGGACTAGCCCAGTACCTACCTCAAGCAATCCTTTACTTTCTGCTATTTTTGCACACAAGACGCAGATATCTCAGAGCTGTTACCAATCCACTCTTAAAATCAGCCACATCCAATATCAAATTCTATCTTAAGTTTCTCCAGCAGCACTCACACAAATTAGACCCCTCTAGAATTTTATAAAATTTCTTCTGTGTAAAATTCAGACTCCCCAGTCAAGATTGAAGCCAGAATGAAATAAGAATGGTGTCTTCTCACACAGTGTCCCAGAGAACATGAAAAATCAGAAAGTCTACATGTTTAGGTAAAACATTAGACTGCAGGAGGAGACATCAGATATCTAACTCTACGTAAAAGAACTGTAGCAGTACTCAAACTTACTAACCTACAAAAAGACATATTAAGTGAATTCTTCCTTATCTGTGTACCTTGCCAAATTTGTGCTTTAATGGTAATCCTGCTTTCTGAAAGGCTGGGATGATATCAGCTTTGTAGTCCCTTATAAAGATCCCCAGGTCCACATCTTTGCTGTAAGGAATGACACTGCACTGTCTATACCATCCTGAGAAGTGAAAAAAAGAAGAAAAAAAAGGAATTAGTTAACTTTGGAGCATGAGAAATATATCACAAAACAAAGGCAGTACAAAAATGACCTATCAAAGGGTAACCAGCCCGAAATCCTCAAATGAGGTCATAAATAAGACTCCTGCTTTCTCTGGTAACAAATGAATCTGGAAATGAATCACACTGAAGAAAACAGAAGGACTAACAGTGGCACTTATAGCCACCTCCTTTCTCTATGAAGACAGGAATGAAAAAGTACTAACTCCTAAAATGAAAATATCTTCAGCTTTCTATTCTAAGTGTCTTCAGGAAAGTATATTCTTTATCTGGGTCCAAATCTAACAAGAAATGAACAGCTGTAGGGCTGTAGCCATGCTTACAATTTTCAACAATTACTTTAAATAGATTTGAAGCACTACCACAGAACACTAAGACAAGAACTGAGACATTCTTTAGTTTGTTTTATTAATGCAGTTTCAGTAACTGTTCATTCAGAAAATTACATTCTCTTGGCCAAAAAATGTAAAGGTGACTTGCTCATATGTGACACAACCTATTTCAGAACCTATTTCAGTAAGGAGAGGAAAGATACTTCTTTCAACTTTCAACAGAATTAAAAGCTTGTAGTGCCTATTCTACTAGGTTTTTTATTAAAAGACCTGTGTTTAAAAATATATAAATAGATATCAAATTTGCATAAAAGCTCAATGATAAACATGGGAAGAAAATCAGGTGACAGCCTGTAAGAACATCAGAAAAATATGATCATCATTGTATCTTCCAACTAGCACTTAACAAATTGTAAGCCACACAACTTAGAGAACTTATAATTACTTTCCAGGCAGAGAAACACAGAAACTGCTGGCAATCCTTAATGCTTTACTTGGAATACACTCACAATCTCCAAGGCACAAGTTTCTCAAGAGAAATCAGGAAATCAGGTTAAGAGAAAAAGGCCTTATTTTAATAAAGCTAAAACAGAACATCTGCTTCACACTTCACAGATAACCACCTTCCAGCTGCTAACCTCAGGTGACATCACAAATGCAGCAGAGGATAAAATGTTTAAGATTTGAGATAAATTAAAAATGTTTTACCAAGGCACGTTCCACTGCTCAGCCAGAACTTTACTCCCAAGTTATTCAGTGTCAGGGCAGCTAAATGCAGCAAGGATTTTGCTCTTTTTCTGAATTCCACTGCATCAACAGAGGCATCATCAGGATACACCTGGAAAGCAAAAGTTAGCTGCTATGAGAGAGCAAATTTCTCCATCCATTTTTCTGCATCTTAGGAAAAAAGAATGACCTCTGAAAATTTATTTAATATCTGGGCATTATCTTTTCTCACACACATAGTTCAGTTTGAGAACATGCTGGAACTGGAATCACAGGTCAAATTTCAACTCTGAAATGTCAATATTTGTCTTTTCCAAAGTACTGTAATGTAAAGTCACAGTAAAACAGAATAAGACTACATATATTAGACAAAGATAGTGGTAACAACGCACACAACTCCTAACTCTGCTCACAGAGAAGCCAATACCCACAGCCTAGGGGAAAGCAGGGATGCAGTCACATTTGAGCATATTACAGGTTTATTTGGCGCCACCAAGTGTTACAACTGGATGTTCAGAACTTCTGCTACAAAACTGCAGCAACGCGAATTAAAAACTTGAAAAGCCAAAACCATGGAGGCAGTCTGGGCAAACATTGCCAAATCAAACTTGTAAACAATGCACTGACCACTCAACTTCAGAACCGATGTTACTAAGAGCTCCTGGGTGACAAGCACCTCGATAACTTTCAAAATAGAAGCCAGCTGCTTATTTCAGTATTGAAGTTCAATATGCTTTCCCAAGCACACTTTCTCTACCTGCGGCAATTACTGCCTGGAGGCTTCAGAGAATCTGAAATCAGAACTAGGAACACAGTATTGCAATACATTGCTCAAATGAATGTAAAAGTAAGGATTGTTCAGAACTTTGAGAAATGCATAAGTAACATTTTAGACTACAAGATGCAAAAGATCTCATTAAATCCGTTTAACAGTGAGATTATGAGAAAACTGTGCACAGGTTAGTTACCCCTTCAGAAAAGGGGAAAAAAACCACACAAGTCAAAAAGAAAGACCGTGATTCTTCAGTTAAAGTTTTTGTTTATTACCATGTACTGAGTTATGTTGAGTCCCAGATCCTATGGGTTAGTTTATGCACATGAAAGGTTGCATTTAAATAGAAAAGTGATGAACTGTTTGTAGGTTTGGGTCAACTGGTGAAAATGTGCATTATATCTCAGAGACACTACTTGATTACCACTAACCTGAAAGAAAGCCCGAGCTTCTCTGTACCTACATTCAAGAAATCTAGAGTGTGACATCTCTTCTAGAAAACTGGATGGATTTTTTGGAATTTGAACTTTTAAGTCATCAATAGAAACAAGCAGAAGTTCAGGCCTGCACGGAAAGAAAGATAATAGGTTACTCAACTCAACTCCTTTAGAAACTACAAGCCATTTTGTCCTCTAGCACTGCTCGAAATCTTAAAACACATCTCTCTCAGTGACTCCTCTGTCCAAACTTACTCAAAATGAATTAAGAAACAAGAGGAACAAAAGCTTCAATACATCCTCATACCCTTCCAAATTTCATTTAAAAAGAAATTCTGTGCCTGTAAGCCCATACTTACCCTTTCAGATCAGCATTTCCTTTATAACTTTCATAACTTACACTAAATTTGTTCAGACCTGCTGCTCAGTGCATTGAAAATTCAGGTTATTTGGCTGTCTAAATATGAGATAGACTTTTAGAATCAAATTTCAACCTGTCCACAGAGGCTGTTTGCCTTTGAAGTTTAGAAGCCATTAAGTCTTCACAATGAGTGAAAAGAGGTATTTAACATCGTACACAATCATTTTTAAATGTTTAGGAACACAGTCCATATAGCTTCCATGTTTTAAAAGGAAGAAAAAGTAGTCTCAGCTTTAAGGAAAAAACCATAAATAGATTTATTTTGACCTGTGAAATGTCTGGCTGTTTTAGTATGACATAAACACATGCCATACAAGAATATTGCTCTCAAAGCATAGTGGTACGTGCTAGGCTTTGAAAACAGTGACAAGATTTGCCACCATCTGTATTTTCTGAAACGATTGAAAATTGAAAAGTTGCTATTGAGAGTGCTCTAACAAAAGGCAGATATTTACAGTAACTTCACCAATGGGATGCAAAGTTTAAGCATAAGACTAGGGACAAATAATTTCAAACATTTGTGCAAATAAGGAGTTGGAGCAGCACTTTACAAATCTAGATTACGAAGTATTTGTTGCTGCTTTTCTGCATGATACAAATGTCACTTCTCTTTATTCACATTCTTTAATACCGGTCATTTATTACATTATTACTAAGCAAATTTGTGTTGCCTCCCATTTTCATATCTGCATTAAAATTTTGGATGCACGTGATTGCAGGAAGAACACCAAATACGCACCAGTTATTACTGTATCTCCTGCCACTTAGCTTTACCTTTCTCATTTCTCGTTTACAAATGATGAGAAACTCTCGTTTTCAATAACCAATATTGGATTTACCTTCATAAGTTTACCTTCCAGGCACTCCGAGAGCTAAAATATTCATGATTCATTTTAAAATTTATAGAAAAGGCCAACTTAATATACAAGAGAAAGAAATTATTTTGGAAATGATGCTACAGCCTTTTGCCTCCTTTGTTGTGGACTCACCTTTCATACGCTCCAGGGTAGCGACCAAAGTGGAGCTTCCGGAAAGACACAAATTTTCTGTCCATATGTTGCTTGAGCCTTAGGGGGCCATGCCAGAGGAAATTACCACTCCTCTCATAGAACACCACCAGGTGAATGGCATGAGACGCCAGTTTAAAAATGTAGTGCAAGGGAATTTCAGTGCCAGACAGGTCATCCATCCCATCCAAGCGAGGGTCCTTGTTTAGAACCTTTAGCCACTGGAACCCCATCTTCTCAGCAGTTCTAAAAAGTCCCACCTAAAAACGGGAGAGGCAGAAAGGCAGAAAGAGGGAGAGAAGCTAAACAGAAGAGAAACCAAAACTGAATGCTAATCTTATTAACTGACATTATTCCCATTTTTCATTTTCTAATCAGATTTAAGCATCAATCACTCAACAATTTGTTACAACATAAAGATTAGCAACCATAACCAACTGCTGTATTTCCTTTTCTTAGATTTTGACCAGCAAATTGTCAATAAAACAACACAGTGAACATTGTCTTTTCTCAGCCACTACATTGTGCATTTTGTAGCATCAACAAAAAAAACTCTTCGTTGAAACTCTACATAAATACATAAATAATATGAAGTGTAATCCATAATCTTTACCATAATTAAAAGCCATTTTCATTACTGCAATAAAAGCACTCACACAGTTATCAACAGATTTTAAAATTTTAAATATATTAATGTTAAGACACTGACTTTCCTATTTTCACATACACACAAACAAACAAACAAAAAAAAAAAAAAAAAAAAAAAGAGTATGAAGTTCTGCCTGGTAAGAACTAATCAATCAGCACCTGACAACCCTTTCAGTTACTCCTCTGCATTATACAAATAGCAAAAATAAGCTACAAAGGAATGTGGAGACAGAGTTCTATTACTGTTCTGCTACACGATCTTATTCTCAGTTCCTTTAATTTCTTGACAATAGTAAAACCATTGTCTGATCAGCTATGGAGCATCAGCACTCTTTGCTTGTTTAGGACTGCTTCAGTAAAATGGCTACAGATCATTTTAATATTTCTTGATGGGGTTGTGGAGAGGGACATGAATGAAAAGAGGAAAAGAAAAAAGCTGTTTATCACTGGCATCTGTAGTTTGTATAATTTAACCCCGTATGTATTTCCAGATGCCACAGCTGAGGAAATTATCTTGGATTTAATTTTGTCCTTCATCCCCTACTATATCCCCACTTTTAAATGCATCCACTTAAAAATCTCATGCTACTGAAGAAAAGCACCAGGTGCTACTATACTAGGTGACAAAACAAAATGGTGCGAATACACAGATGTACTAAAATAAATGTAAATGAGCAGATTATCATAATCTTTCCAGCCCTGTCACATTAATACTTGCATTTTATCAACAGATCTCCAGATTCAACATTTATTATGGCTCTATCTACATAACAGGCTTAAAGATTTCCCCTTCCATTTCAAAATATCAATCTCTTTTTCTTTTTGGGGGATGCCACCTTAATACAATTGCTTCCAAATACTGCAGATAGCCTCTTAAGAACCTTTTGTTATCTCAATAGGCTCTCAATACCTATTTTCAAATCAACTGTGTGACTTTCTTCAAAGCCAGGTTTACCATTCTCTTTCAACAATTCACGTGTTTCTAAAACTTCAAAGGCTAGTACGTGAATACCTTTTAATTTAAAAGAGTTTCATCTACCATCATTCTTTGGAGATTTACAGCAAATTCTGTGTCCTTAAAGCAAACATGGAAGCATGATGACACAAAATCCTAGAACAGTTAAATGCATTAAAATACACTATGTGAACTGAAGAAAAGAAACTCACTTCATGTTTCCACGCTTTGTCCAGTAGTGCAAATGTAGTGAAGTCTCTTGGAGCACAGAAGTACTTGCATTCTGGACTAGGACCATCAGAAGAACTTCTGATCTGTTCAATGTCTTTATCAATAAGTCCCAGAATTAAAGGATCAATCAAATACACTGGTATGTTGTGACTGGATATTAAGCCTAGGAACTTCCTAACCACATGCTGTTTAACAGAGGAGAAAACTAGAATTAGAAACATCATTTGTAAGTGTATATGAATCAGTACATTAACTCTTGACCAACTGATAAAAGGAAATCTTATCTCCCAATGTGCCTTATCTCATCTGAGTGTGCCTTTACTTCCATAAACAATTGCAGAAATTGAAATTTCTTCTTTCAGATGAGCAGCCTGCTCTCAAGCACTCCCTATCTCTAAGACTAGAGGAAAAATCTTTCATATTCACTGAAAAATTTCCAGAAATTAAAGCGCTTCAGAGTGCTGTAATCTAGAATAGCCTCTAAATTAAGCTCTAGATTTTTTCCAGTTCCAGATCAAGTTGGAAAGCGCTTAAATAAACTAACAGGTGACAGATGTAGATGGAACATATGGGCGCTGAGGGAACTGGCTGATGTCCTTCTGAGGTTCCTCTGGCACATTTCGAGTCTAGCTAAACTCCATACCAACTCCAGAAAGAAGGCTCTGGGGAACTCTGGTCAGTTTTATCTCAATCCCCAAAAAGCTTCTGCAGCAAAAGCCCCTGTAACGTTACACGTAAGCATACAGATGTCAAAAGTGTGACTGCGAAAGTCAGCCAAGTGCAAACTGCACCTAATGACCTCAGCTGCCGTGGAAGAAATAATTAGCTCTGTGAGCAAGGGGAGAGCAATGGATGCTGTTCACATTCTGATTTTAGCAAGTCTGTTGACCTACTCCCACACAGTACCCCTGAACCTCAAGTGGAGAGATATGTACTGGGTAAGTACAACAGAAGCTGCATGGAGAACCAGCTGACCAGCAGGCACAGGCCTGGTACCATGTCCTACCAAGCGCTGGTTACTACTGGCATCTCAGCAGGGTTCAGTCCTAGTCAACACTGCTTTGTAACTTTATTAATAATCTCTACAGTAGCAAGGAGTGCATTCTCAGAAATCTGGTAGACTACACTGAACTAGAAGATCATTCAGTATGCTGGAGGACAGGACTGCCATTCACAGAGACCAAGAAAAGGTCCAGTGACTCATACTGATGGTGACAGGAAGCATAACAAGGACAATCTGGGCAAAGGCAAAGCCTGGCATGTGGCATGGGTGAAATTCACCTAATAGGAAAGGCTGGGGCAACTGAACATGAGAAACTGCAGAAAAGTACCTAAGTGTTCTAGGTTAAAACAAGGGCAGTCTACAAAGTGCCAAAGACCGGAATTAGGAAGACACAACCTGGAGATCTAGTTCTGCCTTTAATACCACATAACTAGGAGGTACAGAGAGGATGAAGCCAAGTTTTTCTCAGAGGTGTACTCTTGCAGGTTGACAGGCACATGGTTAGAAAACAGGAAAATGCAATCAGATGTTAGCAGAATTTTTTCCCAGTATATGATCAGATGCCCAGAAAGGTTGCAGTATTTCTATTCTTAGAGCTATTGAAAGCTTAGCTGGCAAAAGGCTGAAGCAACCAGATCTAGTTGGCTCAACTCTGCAGAAAGTGCTGAACTTGCATCCGCTTCTGTGGATCTAACAGAATGATCATACGGTTAATAGTTAAAAGCAAGTACACACAGGTTGCCTGGCCTTTATTGCAACAAATAGGTTGTGGCAGATTTTCCACGCAGACAGAACAGATCTCTCCTATCTCACCATTTTCAACTGAGTTTATGCTTAACACCTTAGGTTCAACAGAGACCTCTGCTGGAAAGAAGGAGGCTATGCCTGTTGGAAAAAAAAGGCAACCACCCAGCAACCATAACAAAGAATGGCAAATGAGAGAAAGAAGGAAACTTTACAGTCCTTACAGAATCATTTAAAAGACCCAGGCAATCACATTTTCAGCTCATAAGTATAGTACTAATCCTTCATGGAATGCTCTCAAACAGTAATGTTTCATGCAAACACAGACTGCACGATGCAGTCACTCTAAACCAAAAACAGGAAGGGCTTTAGCAAGTAACAAGTAATAAAAAACAAAATAAAAAATCAAGACTTGTATGAATCCTGAAAGCTTAAATCTTCGTACACAATTACAAATCAATCACTGTGACAGTCTTAGCTTGGTCTGCCAGTAAGTGGAGAGAATAAACTTACTCTAATCACAAAACATCCTCAGGAAATGAAGTTCTTTCTTCCATGATTTTTCCTGAGAGACAAAGTCAGCTATGATTTACTTTAACACTACTAGGAATTGTGGAAATAGAAGATAAATTTTAGAACAGTGTTGAGCACCTGCTGTCATTTACACCACTAATAAGAAAGAACGCTGCCCACTGTCTATCAGTAACATTAACTATCCTTGATGCACCTTTGGTGCACAAAGCGTGATTTGGCAAGGAGGCAGGAAGAACACAGGGCATTCAGCTGTGTCCACACTGCCTAAAGAGTAAAATATGTACCAAGAAGGCCCTGTGCGTAGGGAGAGGACTTACTGACTTGACTCAGAGGAGAATTCTGATCAAGTACATTTAAATGTCCATAGCACAGGGACAATTTACACCAGTAACAACTGCAACTGCTATTAAAATTGTAGCTGAGATGTTTAACTGTGAGAATTAAATTTCATGATGGAAAACACAGTTCAAATAAGGAAAAAAAAAATGTTTATAACAGCACTGCTAGGCTTTATGTCTGTTATATCTCAAGGTTTCTAGATGAGGCACAAAAAGGAAAAACAAAAAGGCCTGCTGTCTAAGCTACTAGTCCACCAAAATGACCCTGGTCTTCCAACTCAAGCTCTCATACTCTTACAATGAAATTGCTGAGTCCATCCAAATGGATTTCATTTTCCAACTTCCAATACTGGCACAGGATTCTGACTTCAGAGAGGTGAAAAAACACGAGTGAAGGCAGAACATGGATCAACAGATATAATCGGGAGAGCAGCACACTACATGTGCTTTACAAGCAGAGGCAAGCCCACACCTTTAGTGATTTCCACAATACTCAGCCAAAAGGTAAGTAATATGCTAGCTTTATTTCTGTAATTACAACAAGCAGATCAGACTGATGAACAGGAAACTAATCTGTACAAAGATGTCTACTTTTTTTTTCTTGTTACTTTTCCAGGAAAACAGGTGTTTCTACTTGGAACTTAAATTAGCAGGAAGAAATAATCATAGTATCAAGCAGAAACTCATTCACATAGAGTAGTTTGGACTCATCATGCAGGGACTCAAAAGGAAGGAGCTCTAAAGTAAAAAAAATGGGACCATGGACCATTCTGCTCAATTACAGATAAACCTGTTAGATCAAGTTAGAGCTAAAGAGAATTCTGCCTAAAGAATGGCAGGATGGAAGCTCCACTGTGACTTTATCACCTAACACCACATTAGTGGTTCCAAAGAGGATGCCAACTCCAAGAATTGCAAGAGCCTTTGTGCCAGCAAGCAGTCCACAGAACAGCTGGTTTGGATTTTTTCCAAGTACAGTTCTTAATACAAACACCATTCGTTCTGCTCAGCAGAAACAAGGCACTTAAATGGCTATTTTGCTAACTAGCAGCATTATTATCATCATACTGCATCCAAAGCAAAGGGCAATCAGCTCCCAGCACAGCTTCTCCTTAATCACCTTTGCTGTTCTTGCAGGAGGAGATCTGTCAGTGAAAGACTTCTCTAAATAAGTACTAACTACAAGTACCTGAGTATCTGTACTTAGGTACACCACATACAAATTTGTATTCAACTGACTTTTCCTTTCCCAGGACCAGTGTGATGTTCTAGCTGCAATGAATCCAGCACATCTTCAGTAAAACATAAACTAAAGCATGCAATTTTGAGTGTGTAAGGGCACTCTTAACACTTGTCCTGAATGCTGGAATGCAGCAAGTAGCAAATGCTGAAATGCATAATTTTCCTGCTTGTGAAGAGCTTTATGATCCATCATAACCACGTAACAAGGACCACTTAGCAGCTGGCTAAGTGCATGCAGCAAGAAAGAAGTACTACCCTGTGACCTGCTGACTCTTCTATCATGATACTATCAAACAAGCTACAGACCAAAAGGCCAATCTTCTCAATACTTTGTCTGAAAGCACGTGAAAGCCTAGATCAAAACTTCAGTCAGGAGACTTGATCCTAAGAGTGTAACGCAGCAAAGGACTGCACACGGAATAGCTATTACGCTGCAACTCTGTCTCAACTCCACAGTGAACAGTTTTGAAACATGTAACCACCTCACTCAGTGAAAGAAGCATCTTTCAGTTCTTAACACTAAAGCACCCCCAGTGAAGAGGCAAGAGCTCTAGGCTTTGCACGTGCAATTCTGTGTAAGCTCTCTGAGAACCGCAATGGAACCATGCAGTCAGTGATGTACGTACCCATCTAGTGTTGTCTTGGCCGGACTGGCCTCCTCTGGCTTTTGAAAAAACTGCTCCATTCTATTTAAAAAAAAAAAAGGAAAATAAATAAGTTTCAGCTGAATACCTGCTTATGACCTCTTAACAATATTTTCAGGGGCATTTATCCAGTTAGCCCTTTATGATTATGCCTACTGTTACCCACCTACAGCACTAGAAGCCTACTAGAAACCGAAGCCTACTGCTGTATTTATTATTTAGATAGGCTGACACGAGCTGTGTGGACAGGATCAGGTCTCGGGTTTGTGCACTGAGGTCAACAGCAGGGTGACAAACACCAGCACCGTTAGGCAAGCACCACGGGAAGCACCACGGGGGCAAAGCAGCAGGACAGAGCTCTCTCTTCCCAGACGCAAAGCAACTTCGCGTTGCTGGCGCTTATTGACGCCGTGAAGTCACGGCTGCTAGCTGCTCAGCTTTCAGCCTTCACAGACCATGAGGTACGCATCACCACGGCCTCGTTCACCATCACAGACTGTAGGAAAGCAGCCAAAGGCGGGCGCCTGGTTTTACCTTCTGCGACAGGTAGAACTTGTAGTAGTAGAGCTGGAAGAGGAGGAACACCAGGCTGGTCAGGCTCAGCACAGCCAGCACCGCGTTCTTGTTGACCTTCTGCATCAGTCCCGGGGCTGCACGACAACGCCGCCCCACAGCAGCTCCGCGCCTGTCATCTTCCCCACTGCGCAACGCCCCGCCGTCGGCCTGCGGGGAAACGCGGGAGGGAAGCGTCGCACGGCCCTGCGGCGCCACTCGGGCCGCGGCAGCTGCACTCTGGCGGACATCGCAGCGCCGAGCTTCCAGCCCCCGCGCCGGGCCCCCCGCGGCACGGAAGAGCCGCCCTTACCTGCGCCTCCACCACCCGCTCCGCGCCGCCCGCTGCGCGCATGCGCGCCCGCCCTGGCGCTGAGGCGCAACGCAGCCCCCGCCCGCCCTTCCTCCCCCCGTTCTCTCCCCGCCCCGCCCCCATCCCCGGGACGCCCGCGCGGCAATGAAGGCAGCGTGCTACAGGTTGAGGTGTGCGCATCAGCTCTCAGCTTTATTCAGTAATACAAAACGCTGGCAACACACACGCGTCAGAGACAGCGGAAGGCGCCCTGCCTCCAGCGGGCGGCGACGGGTCTGCGGGCAGGGGGCTGCGGAGGGATGGGCCGAAGTGTGATGGCAGATGAGATGAGATCCGGCAGAGCGGCCCGGCCCGCAGGAGTGAACTGGGGAGAACGTCTGCCTCTGTCTGAATACGAGAAGCAGCGAAGGAGGTTTGTGCCATAGCTTCGTGCCGTTCTTTGCGGAGAAAAAGCAATGAGGGAAGAAAGACAAGTCCCCTTCTGCCTTCTCAATTTGGTACTTAAAGGAACACCTCTCAGCTGGATGCTTTTACATCATCCTTTCTGCAATCCGCATTCCTAAATTTGTGCACCTCACAGAAATGAAGATAACCTTCTGCTATATTCATTCGAGGGAAACCTCCAGTTCCTTACAGGTTGTGCTGAAGATATTTTAACGCTGAAATATTACCAGTAACTGCTCAAGTAAGTAGTAGTGAAATCTCATTTTGGTCATTTAGAAGATCTCCCCTGACTTGCCAACCAAACAGTCTGTCTCCAGAGCAGTGAGGCTCTGTATTGAAGTCACCAGCTGTATTACTGCATCAGACAGAAGATAATCCCCGCCAAAGAACCATCCCTCCTATCCCTGAAGCTTCCTCTGGGAAAAGCAGCTCCAAAGGCTGCATGCATCTCTCTTTACCCTCAGAGCAAGTTCTTTACAAATATCATTAATATACTTTGTACAAACAGTGTATCAACTGTATCACTAATATATTGGTACTCAAGTCAAAACAGACACTAGCTCAAAAAAAAAAAAGTCTAAAAAAATCTAAAGTGCTTAAGGCAATTCTTCATATCCCCATTTACTGGAAAAAAAAAAAAAAAAAAAAAAAAAAAAAACAAACACAACACCAACAATGGAACTAGCTGTTAGCAGCAAAGATCTGAAATCTGTGCAAACTATTGTAACAAATTTATCTTTCAAGAGTACAAAGTCACATGTTAAGTTAATTTAGGACATTGGTTAGACTAAAACTTGCAAGTCAAAAGAATCACAGTATGAAACACTTCATGCTGCCTTCAAACTAAGCATTAAAGAAAAAAATTACATAGGTTGCTCTGAAAGCAACGCCTCTTATTTCCATGGAAACTACAATAGATACAAAGATAATACTATTTGATAGAGCTCTTTCTCAGCTACAAAACACTTTTTCAATACAATCACCACCATTAGCTATGCATTTTTTTTCTAGCTGGGAGCAAGAGTGCAGCATGCAGGCCTGTAAAAATCAGCTCCAGCAGAAATGACCCTCTATGGCCACTATTGAAACACACCACTCATTGCTTCATCCACTCACATCCACTGTTTGATCTCCATACACATTCAGCAAGTGTCGATGAATGTCAGTGGGTGCCACTATTTCCACATGGAGGAATTCAATGAGACACCTTTGCTTCACTCCCACTTCCAAGTCAGATACCATTCTGTCAGGCTGCCTGTCTGCTGCCATTTTTTATACGACAACAACTTTGGACCTGCTCCAGCACCTCAATGTCCTTTCTGTACTGAGATGCCCAAAACTCAACACAGTACTTGAGGTGAGGCCTCACCAATGATGAATACAGGTGCAGGATGACATCCCTAGTCCTGCTCACCACACTATCCTAATATAACCCAGGATACCATTGGCCTTCTTGGCCACCTGGGCACAGTGCTGGCTCATACTCAACCGACTGTCCATCAGTACACCAAGGTCCTTTTCCATCAGGCCTCTTTCCAGCCACTCCTCCTGAAGCCTGTAGGGTTGCCTGGGGTTGCTGTGACCAAAATGCAGGACCTGACACTTGGCCTCATTGAAACTCATACAGTTAAACTCAGCCCATCAATCCAATCTATCCAGGTCCCCCTGTAGAGCCTTTCTCCCCTCAAATAGATCAACGCTCCCTCCCAGCTTGGTGTCGTCTGCAAACTTACTGAGGGTGCACTCAATCCCTTCATCAAGATCATTAATAAAGATGTTAAATAGAAGCAGTCCCAGTACTGAGCCCTGGGGAACACCTTGTGACCTCTCTTATTACACTCTCATTACACACTTTCTGCTCCAGAAAGAAAAATTAATGTTTATAGTAGGGTAAATTTAAACAGAAACTGTAGCTAGACATCCAAAACCAAGCAGATGACCAGGTAGTAGGAACAGGCACTTGGCTATTTAGGAGTCTATTAACCACAGCCTAAAGAATAAGTCCCAAAATAAGAAGCAAACATCATAATCCTTCTCTCTAAACACCATCAGGGCCCAGGCATGCAAATCTCACATGACAATGACATCTTTGCAGTTGAGCTCTACTCAGATGTTCACTGCAACTAAAAAAAAAAAAAAAACCAAAAACTAAAGAAATAAGGAAGAAATACTTGAGATTTGGATAGTAACAACTGTCTATGTGATAGCTTCAGATGCTGTTCATTTAAGGATTATGTCACAATCTCAGAACCACAGGGGTTGGAAGGGACCTTCTGCAGACCATTGATTCCAACTTGCTGAAAAGGCAGGTTCACTACAGCAGGTTGCACAGGAAAGCATCCAGGTAGGCTTTGAAAATCTCCAGGGGAGACTCCACAACCTCTCTGGGCAGCTTGTTCCAGTGCTGGAACCTCTCTTGACTTGATGACCACATTCTTTTTATTGCGGCCTTCTTGGCCACAAAAGCACACCGCTATTTCATGGCCAACCTGTTGTCCACCAGGACACCTGGAGCATTCTCTGCAGAGCTTCTTTCTCCTTTCTAGCAGGCCAGTCCCAAATCTATACTGATGCATGTGGTTATTCCTTCCCAGGCTTAACTTTTACTACCATACCACCTCTGACACTGTGAGCCAACATAATAAACTAGGAGGCATTACTTTCAAAGCAGTTCTAATATGTAGCTGAAAAAATTATTTCTAAGCTCTTGGACTTGATTAGAGGGAAGCAAGCAGATTTTTTTTAAACAGTCAATGATATACAAATAATTCTCACTGAAATGTTAACTCTTTCCACAAAGAATATAACATGCCTTTTTTGCTGCTGCTGTTTTTTGGTTTGTTTGTTTGTGTGGTTTTTTTGTTGTTGTTGTTTGTTTGTTTTTAAGCTCTCCCACTAATAAATCATTTCACTACTACTAAACTTCCAGGTAAGTATTGAGATAAAAAAAATATTTTATGGGATTTGTAGGAGAAAATATATGACTACCAATCCAAAAGTAAATTAGGTGTTAGTTTTTTTTTTTTTTTTTTTTTTTTTAAATCAGAAAAAAGCACAGATTGCTCTATTTCTTCATATCTACCCCATAATCTCTTACATGAATAGATATTCTTTTGAGATGCCTGCTTGTTATCTCATGTTTGTATGGGAAGACCAGTAGTATTAATCTGTAGTCAAATAATTCTTGCTAGGAGAGCTAAAAAAAAAAAAAACAAAAAACAACACTATTTGTTATATTCTTCATAGAAAAATATTTGTAACAAAATTAATATTCAAGTCCATAACAAAATGCTTAAGTACAGTAATAGAAAAGTACATAGCTACAGCTCTTGATTTTCCCACCTATTTTTCAAACCAATTCTCAAGTTTCATCGCATAGCAGCCACACTGAAAAAAACATTCAACAATACAAGTGTTCAACAGACATTACTGAGCAATATTATTTAGATTACTAGTTGATCTCCTTAATCCATTTTGATTTTCCTGGAGTGCAGTGAAAACACTTGGCACCTGCAAACCAGTACTTACTGCAAGACCACCACACCAGATCTGAAAGAGAAAGGAAAAAAAATATTCCCAAAAAATCTTAACATTATGAAGCAGTTATACTTTGCTCTCCCTTCCCATAGTGGAACTGACACAAAACTTAACCCACAGCTGCATTTGTTTTCTTTTTCTCTTTAGTCATCACATACAGAAACATTTTAAATCAGAAGCCAATTCTGAATAATCATCAAATAGCTTGGGTTGGAAAGGACCTTAAAGCTCATTTATTTCCAACTCCCCTGCCATTGCCAGGGTTGCCACCCACTAGATTAGGTTGCCCAGGGCCCTAGCATTACACCATAAAATCTGAGATGCTTCACATTCTGTACTTTCAAATAAGTTTATAACAACAAAAAAAAAATTCTATATTTAAGACTGATACCCTAACAGCAATATCCTAACTTAATGATGGTTACAACCAATACACAAGAGTTGTCCAGTGTCTGAAAGCAGTACTTAATTACGTCATGTCACACTGGAACGATGTGAATGCAAACGCTGACATAGGTCAATGTGAAAAACAGTTTTGAGGAGATTCAGGGCTGCCATTGTAAGGGACATCTATTCTCCAACTGAATGATATTAAAGAACGTGCGTCTAATTGCACAAATAAATCTCAGTACAACAGCTGTAATTAAGCAGTTTGCCTTTTTTACTTTAACTATATTCAAGTTAACATCAATAGTGCAATAGAGACTGCAGCCAGTAACTTAAACTCTGTTAAACTCTGTGTGAGATGAAAACAAATAGGCTGAGTTGTACAAGCAAGTGTTCCCTTGCACTTGCTACTCCCTTAAGAACTGATTTAAGAGTCAGCTGTAGCAACGCATAATCAACTTGTAGTGGTATGTCTGACAGTAAAGTATGATGAGAAGTAAAGTTGCCTGGGAAATCTTCATTAATCAGCCTAATTACACAACAGAACTACAGTGCCATGTTTTCTGTGGGCTGGATTACAAGAGGTAGAAGGTCAGTGTCCAGACACCTGAGTTGTTACTATGAACTAAAGCAACAGCCTCCTCAGATGCCTAAGTCCTCCCAGGCCT